AAGACACTTACAGATATCCAGCGAAAGGCGATCCCGCTCGCATTGAAGGGCCGCGATGTCCTTGGTGCGGCAAAAACGGGGAGTGGGAAGACGCTTGCGTTCCTTATTCCTGTACGTCTACCTTTCTCATTCTTATCTATGCATGCGCACTCAATGGCATGCTGAAAGTGGAAAATATCCCCCCATCTAGGTACTCGAGATCCTCTACCGGAGGAAATGGACAAACCTGGACGGTCTCGGCGCACTCATCATTTCGCCGACCCGCGAGCTTGCGACCCAGATATTCGAGGTGCTGCGCAAGATTGGCGGCCACCATGCGTTCTCTGCGGGCTTGGTCATTGGCGGCAAGAGCGCAAAGGAGGAGCGCGAGGCGTTGCACAAGATGAATATTGTGGTTTGCACGCCCGGGCGCATGCTGCAGCACCTGGACCAGACGTTTGGGCTCAATGTGGATAACGTCCAGCTGCTTGTGCTCGATGAGGCGGACCGGATCCTAGATATGGGGTTCCGCGCGACAGTCGACGCCATTGTGGCGAACCTTCCAAAGACCCGGCAGACGCTCCTGTTCTCCGCGACACAGACCAAGAATGTTAAAGACCTAGCGCGCCTAAGCTTGAAGGACGCCGAGTACGTCGCGGTACACGAAGCGGCAGAGGCGGCCACACCAGCAAAGCTGGAGCAGTTCTACATGGTGGTCTCGCTCCAGGAGAAACTCGACACGCTCTTCTCCTTCCTGCGCAACCACCTGCAGGCAAAGATCATCGTCTTCATGACCTCCTGCAAGCAGGTCCGCTTCGTCTATGAGACCTTCCGCCAGCTGCACATCGGCATTCCTCTGCTGCACCTGCACGGGAAACAGAAGCAGACGGCCCGCGCCGAAGTCACAGCCCGCTTCGCGGCGTCAAAGAACAGCTGCCTGTTCTCCACGGATGTCGTGGCCCGCGGCCTCGATTTCCCTGCTGTCGACTGGGTCCTCCAGATCGATGCGCCCGAGGACGCAGACACATACATCCACCGCGTTGGCCGCACCGCGCGGTTTGAGAAGACCGGGAGGGCAGTGCTGTTCCTGGCGCCCAGCGAGGAGAAGGGGTTTGTGGCGAGGCTCCAGGCCAAGAAGGTCCCAATTGCAAGGGTCAATCCGAAGGCTGCGAAGAAGCAAAGCGTACAGAATCAGTTGCAGGGGCTGTGCTTTAAGGATCCGGAGCTCAAGTATTTGGGCCAGAAGGCGTTTGTAAGTTATTGTAGGAGCGTCAGCGTGCAGAAGGATAAGGAGGTGTTTAAGCTCGAGGAGTTGCCCTTGGAGGAGTATGCGGCGTCGTTGGGGCTGCCCGGGGCACCAAGGATTAGGGGGTTGAAAAAAGTGGATGCGGAGAAGGCAAAGGAGTTGAAGAATGCGCCGCGCGGGCTCAAGGCGCTGGAGAATGCGCCGAGTGAGGATGAGGATGAGGAGGATGGGGTAAGGAAGACGAAGAAGAAGGAGGTCAGGACAAAGTATGACCGTATGGTCGAGAGACGTACGTTCTACCCGCACCCCGTTCCATCCGAACAGAGGCTAACATCCCCACAGAAAACCAAAACGTCCTCGCAGACCACTACAAGAACCTCATCGTCGACGACCCCACCGCCGCCGCCTCGGATGACGACGAAGGCGACTTCCTAACCGTAAAGCGCACCGGCTACGACAGCGACCTCTCCTCTTCCTCCTCGGACGCCGGCACAAAACCTAAACCCAAGACCATCGACCTGGGCGGCAAAGACCTCACCATCGAATCCAAGCGCCGCGAGAAAATGATGACCTCCAAGAAGGAGCTTGCAAAGCTCAAGCCGAAGGGAACAAAGCTCGTCTTTGACGACGACGGCAACGCGCATGCGCTTTACGAGCTGCAGGGCCTGGACGCGTTCCGCGCGGACGGGACGGCGGAGGACCAGAGGAAGAGGTTTGTGGAGGCCGAGGGCGAGAGGGTCAAGGTGGCGGATGTGGAGGATCGACGGGTGGCGAAGGAGAAGAGGCGCGAGAAGAAGGAGAAGAGGAAGAGGAGGGAGGCGGAGGAGGCGGAGAGGATGAGGGCGGAGGAGAGTGGGGATGAGGGGGGTGAGGGGTATGGTGGAGGGTTGCTGCCGTATGAAGCGCCACCTGGGGTTGAGAGTGGGAGTGAGCAGGAGGAGGAGGAGGTGGTGCAAGAGGAGAGGGAGAAGAAGAGGCAGAGGAAGTGGTTTGAGGACGATCCGGAGGAGGAGGAGAAGGGGAAGAAGGGGAAGAGAGGAGGGAGGGTTATTGAGGCGGCGGAGGAGCCGGAGACTTTGGAGGACTTGGAGGCGCTGGCTAGTGGCCTGCTGGGGTAGGTAGACGTAGACGTGTGCAAAAGAGAGGGGGGGGGGATAATTGTAAGATAATTTTAGTTAGATTTTTACGTCTGCTAATGTGGATGGATGGAGAGCTGCCTAGGTTTTAAAATGGGGTTTATGACTACTGGCCTGTGTTTTCCTGTGCTTGTGCTTTTTGTTCGTTTTTTTCTTCTTTCTTTGACGGTTTCTCGACAGTCTGTGGAGTAGATGATGGAGCGAATGGGCGGAGTGGGAAAAGATACAATGTGGTCATTACCCCTCAGCTATCTAGATCTCAGGTGTGGTGTGGTGATGGGGGGGTGCGGTAACCCTAACCCACCAACCAGAACATCGATAGTTATAGTCGCTTTTGGAGTCGCTGCGGGCCATTGGTATTGAAAAGCCCACATATGTTTGTGAATGCCGTGAGCATGTAAGTAGCTGAATTGGTCATTCCCCCTCCTGCCTTTACCTTTTGAAGGCCCCACACCGTACCTCGTGACTAGCGTGCTCCCCGCTCACACGCCCGGGCGCCGCCCGCGGGTGGTGGGGCGAGTGATGAGTTGTGATTGGAATTCTAGAGTTGGGGTTTTCTTTTCTTCGGGATTGGAGACTTGGTAGGTAGCTGCTGCTGTGGTAATATATTGGGGGGGGTTCGGGGAGTTTTTCTGGAAGGAAGCTGGGTTGTGGTGTGGGTTTATGTTGAAGCCTTGGATGGGGTATGTATATATATAGGTTTAGGTGTCTTTAATAAGGAAGGGGTCTTTGGTTTAAGCAATGAGAAGCCCCGCCTATGGTGATTGAGCTGTCATCTATATATATAGGAGGCACTTTTCTTTGTTTTTTTACCCTATTGTTTTGTTACTTTCTGTGTACGAGAGATAAAATACGAGAGAGGTGGAGGCTGGATAGGAAGAGGGAGGCAGGTGTGACCTTTTGTTTGGGGGACCGGTGGTCAAAGATAAGCGGAAATGATTGGGATGCGTTAAGACTCGATCCCGAGAATTTGTTTTCTTGATGAGTTTCTTCAGCGCTGGTTCTATAAGTCGAAGCTGGTCTTGAAGGATCTTGGTCTGGGAAGCCTGGAGTGGTGGGATGTGAGTTTGGGGGCTGCAGCTGAGCTTCAAGCTCTCTATTTGTACGATATGGTATTCGTATATTGGGAAATTGAGTTTACACTATCAGCGAAAATGTGCGTATATCTTGCTCCCAAATCTTTCGTCAGCTACGACATTCCTGGCTGGTATCCTGTGGCGGAGGTGATGTTTCTGTTCAGGTCCAGGTGAGCCAGAAAAAGAAAAAGAATAGGTCATTCCTGCTCACCTCAAATATCCTACGTGTCTTCCACATATGTAGTTCGCGGCAAAGACAGCTGTTGTTCAACTACCGTCTTCAAAACCTTGGTCAGTTCTCAAAGAGCTCCAAGCCCCGTCACCACAAAACATCCATCCAAGCCCAGCTACTTGCTCTTCAGATATCTTCTTGGTCCGCACAAGTTAAAAAACCGTCAAAATGGTACATTTGGTCCCCTACAGCACCGCAGACCCCACAAAACTCGATGCAATCCGCGCCCTCGTCATCAAAACTGACCCCACCCTCCCCTCCAACATGTGGCTATATCGCTGTACCCTCGACAACTGGCCCCAGCTGTGCTTCATGGTATGCGACGCTGCTGCATAGTGAGTGCTCTTGGTGCTTGAGTGTGTGTTGACCATGTATACATGCAGGCAATGGACGGAGAAGCAATTGTTGGGGTTGTGATATCGACCGTCCAGATGCACCACAACAACATGCTCCGCGGCGGGATAATGCTACTCCTCGTCGAGAAAGACTACCGAAGCTGCGGTCTCGGTACGTCCCCCCTCCCCCACCTCTCATAGCGCCCAATCTGCCGTAACCCCAGCCACAACAACTGAACACCCCCCCCCCCGGACCAGGTACAAGACTCGTAGCACAAGCTGTAGAGTCCCTCATTAACGCTGACGCTGACGAGGTACGTACATGTATTATCACCGCCCTCACTCAAGCAGCCCATCAGCAGTTCCCTAATGGCCATCAGATCTCTGTAGTCACGAGAACCACCAACACAAACGCCATAAAGATCTACGAGGGGCTGGGCTTCATACGTACAAAGCTCCTGCCAAACTGTGGTGGTGGTCAGAGCTGGAGGATGATGTTGCTGCTGGGGTCGTTGACGGAGGGGCTTTATGATTGTAGCTCGGAGGATTATCCAGAGACGTGTGGTTGTGGGATGTTGTCGGGTAGTGTGTATAGTTTGAGCTCGTGTAACTCGGGGTGCGATCATGAGAATGATCCGCATGAGACTTCTTATAGAGCCTCCTCGGGGATACATGATGTGGAATAGTTGTGAGGAATTAGGCTTCAGGGATGATGATGTGGTGTGGAGTGGCGATGTTAGTTTGCGTCAATCATGGTATATCACTCGCTTGGTTCGGTGCATGCCAAGCGTAGCGAATTAGGAACGCATAAGAAGGTACAAGAGTACACAAGCGAATACCATACATATCATCTTTAAAAGCTTGGGGATCAGGCTAGTCTGATTACTGCTTGTTGGAGAGGTGTCGGTAAATATCAATACCCGCTCGGTGCTCGGGTCCACCCACCATCAGGAGCTCCCTCGGCACTCCCTCCAATGAAAGAAAGAAATTTAATGACGCCTCGATGGGAATTCGAATCCCAGTCTCCTCTCTCACAGCGGGTACACTCCGGACTGACTTTGAGGAGGTATGCTAACCGGCTGCACTACCGTGGCTTATGATAGTTCCTGGAGAGCATATTATAGGCCTAACATGTCATTGGGTAGTAAAGCGGGAAAAAACTAATCATTAATCTCCGTTCCAGACTAAGGTCGACACGCATCTCGTTATAAAGCTACATGTACACTTTGTAGGTTCGCAATTGGAGTGGATCAGTTCATAGTACTGTTCCAGCTTTTGAAGGTTGGTGGTACATACCGATGCTAGTCGGAGAGTGTTTTGGACGTCAATGACCGTTCTCTGTTCTAGTTGGTGGAATGAAATTGTGCCTTGTTGCTTGACGGAGGGTCTTTCCGAGGGCGTCGGTGGTGAGGTTGCATGTGATTTGTTAGAGTCGTTGGTGGACCAACTGGGCCAAGCAGGTGGGTATATATATACATGTATTAGGCGGTCATCTATAGGTCTTACTCGGGAGCGGAGACAGGGGCGGCGATATATCTATAGCGGAAGAGAAGTAAGGATTTTAGATAGATGTAGGTTCTTGAATTGGTTGGATCGGGTTGTGCCTATCCGGGCCTCGAGACTTGCAAGATTCATTTGATGCAGCAGTCCTTAATGCTGCGGGAAGTGGCAGAGGATGGGCATTGTAGTCGCGTCTTGGGATTGGACCAGTTATAGGATGCTATATAAGGCGGTAAATATGTCAAATAACACGATTAAAGCACAGGCCTTTTGGCCAAAAGGGGCCATATAATGCCAATATATATGTATGCATGAATGCTGTCCACTACTAGTAGCGGGGAATTTCACTACCGGCGGGAAAAATTCATTATTAATTAATCATTTACTTATGGCATAAAGTCTGAGGTTCAGTGTTTATACTACCGGTAAGATATGACCAATGTATAGCGGCACAAGGGTGGAAATTACTTTTGACACATTTACCGTTCAATGATACTATGGCTTGTATTGGTAGGGTAGTGTGCCATCAGTGTTTTAATTTGTGGCAAGTCGTTGTGGTGGTTGTTAATATATATAGTTACATTATTGTTAACGGTTCATTATCTTATTTAGACAAAGTTCTAAACTACCTGTGCTTTTGCCTTAGAGCCAGCTTGCTCTCTGAATTGTACCTATAAAGAGGATGCCTTCCCTCCCTCTTCTTATTTCTGATCGTCATTTCAAACAATGAACTTTATGTTCTAGGTTCTCTATTACTTTGGAAATGTCGTCCCAGAAAACAAGTGCAAGATAAAAGGAGAGATTAGAGGTAGCCGCTTCCCTAGTAATCATCAATAATACAAGTCACACTAATACAACTACTACATAGTACAAACGAGACGAGAAGGGACCTAGGTCCAGGTTGGCCTCGTCTTATCTCGCGCCAATCATTGCATAGGGGCGATCGTGGAGCGTATCAAAAAGAAACCCATGGCACTAGCTATAGCTAGCTAGTGAATCGGTCTAGGATATAAAGATTAGTATACATGTCCTTCATCAAGGTAACGATTTCACCTTGTGTCGTTACGACATATGTACTGACGTATTTTTGTAACCGTGTCAATACTACCATATGACCATGGCCACGATATGCTGGGTTCTAGATCATGCAACACAACCCTAGTGATCTTGACGGAATATGTAAACCCGTTGCCCCCACATGCCTGTGTCTATCTGACCGTTCAATGGGCATCTTGGCGCACCTTGGAACTCGGATTCTGCACTTGTAGACTAATTTATGCTTATCAAAAAATTCAAACATGGTAGGGCAAGCGGGATTGTCCCGTACAAATGGCATGCTCGTTCTTCTATCATTGACTCTTGACTGATAGATGGCACCCGCAGCTAAGCCAACGCCCGAATGAGTGTGTTGGCTCTCTAGATATTAACCAATGAGAGGTTAAAAACTAATCATTCCCTTGAGTCCGCCTAATCAGACATCCTGGCACCAGGGTTAGGGCTAGGTGGGTATAAAAGCCCAAATCTCCACCATTGGTCCCCACCCCCTGCACCAGCATTCCGTCGCCACACCGACGGTAGGTGGGGTGTAATAATAGACCCTTTCTATACAAAGTACTATATAGTACCAATATTACTGTAGTGTACTCTACAAAAGTAGAAAGCCGCAATTTCGAGCGCCCCTACTAATTGAAATCTTGGCGAAGAGTCCCCCCCTTGCGTTTGGTTTGCTAATTACCCTTAAGCTTATATTCAACTCCGTAACCGGATAGGTTTTTATATGAGACCCAATCAACCCCCTGGGGAGCCATAAATATACACTTGCAGATGTCAGTTGTTTGCTCAGGTGCACTTTGCTGCGCTAATAAAAGGTAGGGAATATTCGAGACCGCCCGATAGCGACCGATGCATCTACTGCGGCCGCCTGTTTTTCGGAGATACCACATTACCTGGTGGTTCAAAGTACCGCATAAGGCAGAATATGTATTATCATGCCACTCGATGGGATCTTGATAGCAACAGTAGCCGACGCGACGACGTTGGCGAGTGATTCACCATGACTGTGTCGCTGCGCTGCTGGGACCCCGGAAAGAAAAGCCTATTGTTTTCAATTTGCATATCCACAAAGGCGTAAACTGTAGCCAGAAGCTAGCGATAGTTAATTTTTCCAGAGACCCTTCGATATATATTCGCATGCATACATGAGCAACCCCAGTCCTAGAAACGCGGTAAATTTGACGCCGTATAAGTATATCTTCCCGTCACGAAATCAATGCGGCAAGGACTTATAGATGACCGCAACACCCGCTTCCGTAACTATAGGTAATCCAAATAATCGTACCCCGAGTTCGTCAGAGTAAGTTTTCGTGTCCCGTTCAAGTAATATTTAATCTCACGACTGGCCAAAGCCTGGAACACCCCTTACTTCCCCCCCCCCCCCCCTTACCTGAGTGACTCCACCTGAACCACCATCTGGTACCTGGGGTAGGGTGTCATGACCGTGATCTTGATCAGGTGTCTACCTTTTGACAGGGCCGGACAGGTGAAACGGGCCAGGTGCCTGAGGGGGGTGGTCTGAAATAGATCATGTGCATGTGGACAGGCTAGTAGCCTCAAGTACCTGCATTCCATACACATTGGGACCCGCGAGGCCGGCCGTTTGAGTTGAGGCAAGGCAAGAGGGTCAAGTCCCTTTCGGTCACTTACACTTGCAGCCTTACACGGCCTTGCGGCGGGGTTTCGGGGTTTGGCCTCGACTCGAGCTGGTGCTTCGTTTGAGCATTTCTCTTGGAGAGATAAGACAGTAAGCAGACTCGTATACCGGATTCAGCAGACTGCTGTCGAGTAAGATGGTGTGCTAGATACGTACGTGATTAGGAATTTGTCCCGCTGGAAAGGGAAAACCATTGCTTGGGCGGCCGACCTCGAAGCAGGTGGGAGCAACGCAGCTGCAAGCTAGAGGTGCCTGGATATCGGTGATCTCTACATGCCATAGTAACCCGGCCTCACCATACTTGGACGTCCATATATCAAGTTAGGTTTATAATCTACCATCCACCAAGAATCGACAAGTCACGGTAGTGCAGTCGGTTAGCATCCTCTTAAAAGTCAGTCCGTAGCGTACCCGCTGTGAGAGAGGAGACTGGGATTCGAATTCCCATCGAGGAGTCGTTGAATTTCTTTCTTTCATTGTGGGGAGTGCCGGGGGGGCTCTTGATGATGGTGCGGACGGGCAGGAGAGGCTTGGCATGCGAGTGATGAGTTGTGATGCTTTGCATTACGCAGTTAGTACTTCCCCCGAGAGGGCAACGGCTAAGAGTTAGAGCTACATGTAGTAGTAACACCGGACTTATATACATGTAACGTTTCGTGCGAATATGGAGGCTAAAATAAATGTAGCCTCGATATCAACAATCTCCTCGCTTTCTGTCTTCTACATCATCACCACAACAACTCTCAATAATATAGAGGCTCTTCTCCTCCTCCCTTAATTCCCCCCCGCAAGGTCAGTAAGCTCATACAACCAAACTCGCAGTCTCGAGGTACCGCCGCCCCTCGATGCCTCTAAGAACTATGGTAGGTTGAAGTAGGTGTAATCCCATGTACATACATAGATAACCCCACAAGGTTAGCTGGTATTCTACCCCCACCAACTACAGAATCTAGGAGTAAGTACATATGTGTATGCAATAGTTTTTTTTATTATTTTAGGTACAGAGTAAAATACAACGCATCTCATTCGATCCAGCCCAGAGAACAATGTCAACAGCAACAACGGATAGACTCCCCAGTGCTACATAAATGTATCAAACACCCTCCGTGGAAACACCCAAAACCTAAACAGCTAGCGGAATTATAAAAAGTTACCCTAAATGAGTATGTGTAGTAGTATATGAGTGATACTTTGTGACGCACACGGCCATTAACGCCCCACCCCCCAGGTACATTGCAACCTTCTGAGCTTCCGAGGCCACTACGAGCACCAGGTCCGTCGCGAGCGGCGGTTCGATCTCTCCGGTTCCCGAGTAGCTAAATACATGTATGAAATAGCTACACTACCAGAGATGTCAGGGTTCGCATAGCACTAAGTATATATCTCTTCTCCCCCCCCCCCCCCCCCCCGTTGTTGCATGGCGAGAGTCACGGTCTGTCACTCGTGCCTTCGCACCGCTGCAATCTACAAACCAACTAACCGCAACCACACACCCACAGCACAAGGCGCAAGCACATGAGCACAAAAGAAAGGGCGAAAAGGCGAAGAACCAGAAAACGAGGCAGTGAGGAGCAGCGAGAGAAGAAGAAAGACGCAGCTAAACAAGTCCATAAGTAAATAAAAAACGCTGTTAAAATTATCATTACACCCCTCACTGCCACTACAAGAACCTGACCAATGTGCTGAGCATATCCCTCGTCTCTGCCGCCTCTCCTTCTGCCTCCGCCTCCGCCGCCGCCGCCAAATCGCCAATCTGCGCTACACCCCCGCACACTCCCATTAGCCACCGCTGTCCCACTCCGCCCAACAAGCCCAACAGGAGAAAACATACCTTCCAGCGTCTTCCTCACAGCATCCAGGCTGCCCCCGAGCCCCTCTTTAACC